GTATAGGTATGTATGCATGTGTTTATGTGGTGGGACAACCATGGCTCTTTCTGAATGTTTTTTTAAATATTATTTGAATACAAGATTTGGGGTGTTGCTAATCGTTTTGTACAATATAGGAAAGAGGTTAATTCTGTGGTTAATGTGCATAGTTTTCTCGCCTTAAAAAAAAGACCCACAGTATGTTTCCCAAAAAATATCAGGCTGATAGATGTTTACCACATCCTGTCTGGACCAGTCATTAAGCCTTCTGAGCTTTTGCATTGCCTTTTCATTGCTTCCTTATTGTTGTTCCCTTTCATTTTCTTGATATTTCTAAGAAACATGGGGAATGTGGGGAAATTTGGCAATGACATGGACTTCCTCCTTTTTACAGTATAATATATAGCTATAGTGGGGCCTTCTACACTATACAATTATAGTGCTATATTCTTAACTGTTACAGAACCCTTATAGTTTGGTGAGGCACTAAAGCTTCCTGACTGAGCATTCTAAATGCCTCTCCCAAAACTGCAAATCCCAAAGTTCCATTAGATGGAACCATGGCAGTTCCATGGTGCAATCATAGTGCTATAATAGTGCTATAACTGTATAGTGTGAAAAGGTCCAGTGTTTAGTAATGACATTTTGTTTCTACTTACTGCCTTGGGGACTTGGGCTCTGTGTGAGATAAAAACCAGGGCTGGCCCTACCTCTAGGCAGAGTAAGGCAAACACCTCAAGCTGGGAAGACACTGGATATGTAGGCATCACTGTGTTTTGATAAAGGATGAAAATATCCCATTTATTCCTTCTCATGCTCAGTTCCTTTTGTTGAAGAACACAACTGAGTGAGCCAAACAGCCTCTTTAGCATTCCCTAAATTAGCTTAGTGATCTCTAGTGTGACAGAAGACTGTCTCAGCAAAAGCATTGAAGAACCATTCAATGGTTAGTCTTGCAGCATTCTATAAAAGAAGAGATGGGAGTGTGTTAGTAGACCATCTTGCCTCAGGTAGTGAAATGTCTTGGTCCAGACCAAAGAAGCTTCTGCTTGTTCCCTCCCTGGTCCGCTTATCCTCTGACCTCCTCTATCTGTTGTAATTGATCAGGGGTCTAGGTACACTAGATGTCAAGAGGAGTTGAGGAGGAAATGGGGAAGACTTTTGTTACATTGCCTTTGGAGCTGGCAATTCAAGGCAGAAGGTTGTAAGCAGCAATAGTAGTATGGGCATTATGCAGTGAAGCTTCATGAGATCTGGGTAATCATTTTGCTATCTAGAGCATTTATCGAAAATGGGCTGAGTATAGAAATATAATAAGGAGGAGGAGGAGGCTGAGACTTGAGGCGGAATATAACATACATTAAAACACATAAAACTATTTAAACACATTATGTTAAAACACATAGACCTAGGACACATTAAAATCATCCATCATGATTTTAAAAATGCCAATTAAATTGAATCAATTTAAGATTTATTGTTGAAAACTTACTGGGTAGGCCTGCTGGAAGAGATAGCTTTAAATCTGTTTAAAATCCAAACAGCACATTTAGCTGTCAAATCTCTCCCAACAAGTTATTCCACAGTCTAGGAGCAGCCGATGAAAAGATCCTCTGGACAGTTGCCAGTAAATACACCCCAGAGGACCTGAGTGTACGAGGTGGATTATATGGAAGAAAGCAATTTCATAGGTAATCTGAACTAAAACCATTCAGGGCTTTAAAGGTGAGGACCACCACTTGTAATTTGCTTGGAAACTAACTGGAAGCCAGTGGAGTGACTTTAATATTGGTGTGATATGCTTACTCCTACCAGCAGCAATCAGGATCAGTAGCGTCACTGGGTGGACCACACTGGATGACACCCCAGAAAGGGGGGGGTGACACTCCCCCATGGGTGCTGCCCAGGCCTGTGTGGGTGCCCCTTGGGCATGCACAGCTGTGGCTCAGCCCGTGTGGCTTTCAGTCCACATGGCTACCCCCTGGCTGCACAGGCACTCTTTTGGCCCACGCGGGCGCCGTTTTTGGCCATGCAGCTACCCTTCCAGTTGCACAGGTGCTCTTTCAGCCTGTGCAGGTGCTCCCCTAGCCAGGTGGCCACGTGGCTGTGCCTCAGGCCCATGCACCCACTCCCATGCCTGCGTGGTCACACATGGAAGTCCTATCAGAAGTCCCACCCCCCGCACCAGGTCACACCCAGTGCAGGATTGCCACTGATCAGGATGTTCTATTTTGAACTAATTGAAGTTTCCAAACTTGATATGAAGGTAATTCAAGGTAGAATGCATTGCAAAAGTCCAGCCTTGAGGTTACCAGCATGTGCACCACCATCTTTAGGCCTTCCAGTTCTAGGAAGAAGTGCAACTGGCAATCAGCCAAAGCTGATAATAAGCATTCCTGACCACTGCGTCGGAAGGATTATTTTTCCTTTTCCTAATATTAGATTTATGTTCTAAATGTTGCTCTGTTAAAAACTGATCATTGCTAGCCTTCCCCATTTTCTTTTGAAATAATCTAGAATTGGGGACCATTCTTCTAGTCCTTCCTCAATATATTTATCTCTTAAATAATAAGTTAATATATCCATTTCTAATGCTTCATATAATTTCAACAACCATTAATTTAAACTTGGGACCATTTTCGTTTTCCATTTTTGCATTAATGTTATTCGAGCTGTGGAGATCAAATAAAACACTAGTTTTACAGCTTTACTGTCTATATTTTTGTCCCACATATTTAGGAGATATATTTCTGGTCGCAATTTAATATTTGTCCCTAAAATTTTGTTAATTGTTTCATTTATTTCCTTCCAGTAATTTTTTACTATTTTACAGGTCCAGACACAATGGTATAAAGTGCTGATTTCCTCTTCGCATTTCCAGCATTTATTATTGCTTCCTTTATAAATTTTGGCTATTTTCTCTGGAGTCACATACCAGCAAAAGTATATTTTGTAAAAATTTTCTTTAAATTTTTGAGACATTGTATATTTCAGTCCATACATGTTCCCAATTATCCAAATCTATAGTGTATCCAAATTTTTTTGCCCAACTGATCATATTTTCTTTTATTGTTTCTTCCTCTAGATCCCATTTGAGTAACATTTTATATAGTTTACCTATCCTTTTTGTATCATCACCCATCCAGATTTCATCAAATTCGTTAATATTTACATCAATTCCTTGGTTTTTCATATCTAATTTATAACAGCTGATTATTTGATTATATTTATCTACATTAAAGCCTTCCAATTTTAATTCATCTGACAATTTTGCAATATATTTACCTTTTGAGTCTTTTTTTTAAAGTAATTTACTATATGTTATACAATTATAATTTTGCCACATTTCCCTTCTATGTAATGCCTCATGAGGAGAGAACCAAGAAGTAAATTTTGGCATTATTCTTGATTTGTATTTTCCCCATATCTTTAACAAGGTTCTTCTAATATAATTATTGTTAAAGTCCTTATTTACTTTAATCTTGTCGTAACCAAGATAAGTGTGCCATCTGTAGCATAACCCCTCACCCTCTAATTCCAGCAAATCTTCAGTTTCTAATCTGATCCACTCTCTAATCCAATCAAGACAACATGCCTCAAAATATAGCTTAAAATTTGGTAGTCTTAAATTAAATTGTAGAAAGGAATCAAATTATAGAATAATAAATATAGAGCGATTATAAACAATTAGAAATTTACATATTTGACTGAAAAGAGAGGTGTAAAATAGGATGTATAGCGAATAAATGACAACAAATAGTTATGTAATAGTTTAATCTATTTATATAGTTTATTAATATAACATTTCAAAACAAGTGATAAAAGATTAGCATAGTAAGTTAAGACTTACACAAGCAGATCAACAATATAAAAATCAAAGAGCTTTACAAGAATGCTAAGATAGGATATGCTTACAAGGAGGACGTTAAAGTACAAAACAAAATCCAACGAAGGAAGTGAGAAGTCGGTATGCTTGGTGAGGTAAAAGATGTTTGAATTAGGAAATCTAAGAATATAAGAGGAAAGAAGGCATGAAAGAAAGAAATTGGTTAAGGAAAGTGATATAGTAATAAAGTATAAGGAAGTGAAGGAAGGTGAGAATAGGTAGGGAAAGAAATTAAATAAAGGAGGGAATTAAAGATGAAGATAAGGAAAGAAAGAGTAGTTGAAAGATATAAAAGAAGGTAATGGAAATGAATGACGATAGAGATGGTTAGGAAGGTAGAATAAGGACAAAAAAGGAAGGTTAAAGGTATTAATAAAAGGAAGGAATGAGGGAAGATAAGCTAGGGTAAAGATTATAGTATAGATTTAGATGCAAAAGATGAGTAACTGTTGATTTTTTAAGTTTGTAATTGTTCTAGAAATATGTGTTTAGATATTGTTTATTTTTAGTCTGTTAGTTTATTTAGTTTTGTAAGGTATTTGATTTGTGTGGTTTGTTGTTGAATTTTATTTTTGATGTATATTTTTAAAGATGCAACAATAATTTTTTTCAAATAAAAAAAAAAGATCCTTGGAAGGAGAGTGAATATAGTTACATTAAGGTGCTGACCAGAACTGAGCAGTGGTAGAAGTGCATCATTCTGCCTATTACTTCTCCACAGCTTTGTATAGTTTCAGTATGGTGTTATATTTATTCTTCTTAACAGTAACTTTCCAAGTTCTGGCTCAGGCAGGAGATAGTTTGAATACATGCTCTGGGAAACATGAGATTCTCCTTGGCTCCATCTGACACATTCCTCTCCCAGGAGAGGGTCTTGTTCCTGAAGGAAGGGAAGTGGCTGTGGCAGCGCCTACTGCCCACACATTAGATTCAGACTACATCCTGCTTCACACTGTTGGAGGCATTGGAAACATTCCACAATCATGTTCTTGTATGCCTTCAAGTTGTTTTCAACTTATGGTGATGCTATCATGAGATTTTTCTGGCAAGATATATTCAGAGGGCCTTTCCCTTTGCCTTCCTCTGAGGTTGAGAGAATGTGACTGGTACAAGGTCACCCAGTGAATTTCCATGGCAGAATGGGGATTTGAACTCTGGTCTCCAGAGTCATAGTCAAACATTCTAACCACTACACCACACTGGCTCTCTTCTATAACCATAGGAAATAAGGAATGAGCATGAGGCTAGGAAGCTGCATTAGCCCCAAGAAGACTTTAGGAGTCTGCCACACCTACTGTATCTCCCTTCTCTCTCTCCCTCTATAAGTATGTATATGTGTATATTTGGAATGTGCACTTTTCTCCATGCACACACTTATATGAATATACTCACACACAAAAGGCAGTACACATGGGTTTTATTCAGTAGGATGGGGATAGATCCAAGCCATGTTGCAACTTTAAAAATTGAGTATAAAATAGTGCACATTTTCAACCAATACATGCATTACCAGACATACCCACAATAGTGTTGTTTAGGACTATCCCAGGCCTAGCGATTTCATGGCCAAAACCTGAGACCTAAAGATGTCACTGGAGATGTGGCTTGGTGATATTTCAAGAGGAAGCCCCTGGAAATGTCATTATAATATATAAACTGGTTATCTCCTTAGCCTCATGAGAATGCTCTCAGCCAGTTTAACATACCTCCTTTCTGGTTCCCAGCCGGCACGCACCACATTCCAATCTCTTTCCACCATTTCTATTGTCATTTACCCACCCTGGCCTTAGGCAACATCTTTCCTCCTGCCTTTGTTCAGTAATGGACATGGTTAAAGTTGAATTTGTAACCTCATCACCATACCCACAAGTTTTGCATTTCTATGGCTATTTATACAGTCTGATTATAAAAACACCTGTTCACTCCATGCATCTAAGGAAGTTATTAAGGCTTATGCTACAACTTCTTTCCCATAGTTAATCTCAAAGGTGTTACAAGATTCCTTGGTGTACCTTTAAAGACAGTGCTCTTGCCCTGAGATTCCTCCCCCATTCTTAGGATTGGAAAAGGGCTAGGCCTTGAGATGCTTGGACAGGCCAAGCCTGCAACTGTGTAGGAAATATGTGGGTGCTGAAATGCGAGCTGTATCTAGTCTGCTTTTAGTCTAGGCAGTGTTAACTGGAGACAGTTTGCTTAAATTTTCT